GTGTGGCACTTCCCTGCCAGTCTTATTCCCACTCTTGCCATATAAGATGCCTGCTCCCCCTTCAACTTCTCCTATGATTGTAAGCTTCCTCAGGCCCTATCAGAAGATGCTGGAGCCATGCTTACATAGGCTGCAAATAGTAAGCCAATTAAATATCTTTTCTTTATAAATTACCCAGCCCCAGGTATTTCTTTATAACAACTCAAACAGCCTAATACAATGAGTTTAGAGACCAACCCCACAAGGTTCACACACTCCAGTGTGGTGTGGAAAATGGAAGGCCCCATGAACTGTCATGGGCGATGCAAAGGGGCTCAGCACCTAGGTCTAAAACAGTCCATCAACATTGATCAAGAGTCTCAAAATCAAGGGTGCATGAGCATCAGTTATATAAATTAGTAGGATGCTCAAAAGATCAATCCATGCTTGGACCTGGCAAACCCAGGCACCACTGGACCAAGACCTGCAGGAACCAGGAGGACAACAAAAAGATCAAAGTTATGTCCCTGCTTCACTGCCTGATTGGAAATGACTCTTCCCAGTGTTCCCAGATGCTGCTGAGGAAAATGGAAAGAAATTATTCCAGATGCCTTTTACTGAGAAGTGGCCGGGCTTTGAAATGAACAATAATTAAAATATTCAATTTTGGTTAAGAAAAATCAACTGGATCAAATTGAGGATACTGGGCTAGAAGAAATGACATTATCTCCTCTAAGCAGAATAGGACCTCAAGAGTATAATGTAGACAGATTCTAGAAAAGAAAACCACATTTCTCCCTTCTTAAGTTGTGATGTGTAAATTTCTACATGCTACAATAGATAAAACTTTTCCATACAAGGGTCCATGCTATCACCTGTCAGAAAGTCACTTCATCTTCTTTAAACTTCCACTACAGACACATACACACACACACACACACACACACACACCCCTTTATCACTGATATCTAACACTATCAGGACAACACCATCATAAAAATTGCTAAGAAAACTAAATATCACATTTAAAGAAAATTTAAATCTCACAAGGTTTATAATTCCATGTATTAGGTAGCAATGCACTATAAAGACTGAAAGCTTATTTGATAAGTGGTAGTGCAAAGAACTTATTTATTACAAAATTAAGGGGCTTTTAAAAAGTGGCAGATATCAAGAAAAAGTTTTAACTGCCAGTAACCAATGAGTGGCATACAATCTTCCCTATGCTGGTGGTACCAACGTGGAATAAATATGCCTGGCATCTGGTCTCAAACACGTAAGACCACACATGGGGGCTTCAGTGTCAGTGCAGTGAGAATGACTCACTGACAGTAGCCCAGCCTGGTTATGTCATTGAAAAAGGAATTCTGGCCACACATTGGATCTTTTCAGGCACACCCATGCACATGGTTAACAATCATCAACACATTACTTAAACATACAATGTGCAAAACATGCAATGCAGCATACATTGCTTAAACCGTTAAATTAGACATTAATAAGACTGAGGTGGTGAGTGGATACAGAATGACAATCTGAGTGGTCTTTTCCCACTTTATTATCTGTGATGTGGTTATGTGCAGATTTGGTTTAACAAGTTTATAAACAAATCAATCTGCCCTTGGCAACTAAGAGATTAACCCAGCTAAATAAGGAAAGTGCAACCACTAATTTCTGTTTCTCAGAATTTTTTAAAGAAAGGCTTAAAGTGACAGTGTCTTCTTAGTCATATACTCACATTTTACACTAATTTACAGTATATGTTAGTCTTTTGTCAAGTGAACGTACACATTGAAACTTGACTTTATTTTTATGAAAATCTTGAAACTAAATTAAATGTCCCAGGTTAAAACTAAATCAGACAACTTGTTTTCAGTTTACTTCAATGTCAAATTTTGCCAATGGTTTTCACCAGTGTTTAGACCAAAACACACTTTAGGGAAATGTTTAAGTGTTTTGTGTTTTATATGTAAATTCATTTTATTATCCTTAACTAAAAAGTTATTAGCCCTTTTAAAATGAAATAAATTATTCCAAACCTGTATAAATAATGTCTGTATAAATTATGTCATAAATGTTATAGCCTTCTTGAAGGGAAAACATTCATGAACTTTCATCCTGAATGATGTTTCCAAGATGTAATATTATGGAACAACTAAATAGATTTTCAGTGCTTCTAATGTTGTGGATCTTTGAGAGGTACCTACATTTTTAGCAATTATCTGGAATTGTGAAAATAATCTAGCATTATTACCTCAATTTTGCAGATGAAATATCTGAGCGTGTAAGAAATTCCATCACATTCTTCTGGTCAGAAATGGGTTTAGACTCTGGGTCTCTGAAAACCAGTGTGGGAATTTACAGTTTCTCCCATAACTGCCTCAGGTTGGATTCCTACCCTCTCTTCAGGACTTGAATTGCAACAGCAGTGACTGAGGAAGGACAGCAACCTCAGTAAATCAAGACTGAGTTTTGAAACAGTATCCAAATCAACATGGCTTCAATCTTTCTTCCTGAGTAATACAACTAATCTAAAGAATTTGGAACCAAATTTAGAAAGAATATTTAAAAGCAACCTCAGCTCTAGCACCACTCCCTACTCCAGCCTGAGAAATAGTTGTTCTTCTTTCCTTTGTATTCAACCTTGGGAAAACAGTAATATCATCTCTCTATTAGTTGTAGTCTCATAATCCCCATTGTCTTCTTTGACCTGAGGCATGTGTCTCCCAGTAATCTCTTCATTTAGTAATGATAATCTGCAATTTCTTCTTGTAGTGCTAATAATCCTTGGATTCCACACAGGGCAGAGGGCAGTGACTTCCCAAACCACTATCTTATCTTCTTTTCAAACACATTATCGAGTTAAAACAATTGTCTACCCACTTAGAGACTGAAGTTATTTTTGTGTCCACTATCCTGTTCTTCAACACATACATTTTTCTCAAAAGGCTTTAAAAAGTAATAACTGTGCTGATCGTGTTTGATTTGTTTTGTTTTTATTTTTTTAGCCATTTGGTGACATCACATGAATCCAAAATGAACTAGCATGCCACAACCTAATCTGCATTTCAGAAAGTTACAAAATTTCATTCAAATTGCAACTTTAAACTTTTCTGTGTAAGGACACATACCCACTACCACACTTACCCGATCCCCAGAAAAGGAGACAGAACTAAACAAAACAGAATCAGAATACATGCTGCCTGTAACAGAAAAAAAAGAAAGAAAAGAAAAGAGAGAGAGAAATAGAGAAAGAGAGCAAAAAGGAAAGAAGGAAGGAAGGAAGGAAGGAAGGAAGGAAGGAAGGAAGGAAGGAAGGAAGGAAGGAAGGAAGGAAGGAAGGGAGGGAGGGAGGGAGGGAAAGAAAAGGGTAAAAGGAAGGAAAGGGAGGGAGGGAGGAAGGAAGGGAGGGAAAGAAAAGGGTAAAAGGAAGGAAAGGGAGAGAGGGAGGCAGGAAGGAAGGGAGGGAGAGAGGAAAGAAGGGAGGGAGGAAGGAGAGAGAAAGAAAAAGGAAAGAAAGAAAAGAAAAAGAAAGAAAGAAGAAAGAAAAGAAAGAAAGAAAGAAAGAAAAGAAAGAAAGAAAGAAAGAAAGAAAGAAAGAAAGAAAGAAAGAAAGAAAGAAAGAAAGAAAGAAAGAAAGGAAAGAAAGAAAGAGAGAGAGAAAGAGAAAAAAGAAGAAAGAAGAGGATGAAAGAAAGGAAAGGAAGGGAAGGAAGGGAAGGAAGGAAAGGGAGGGAAGGAAGAGAAGATAGGCAAGAAGGAGAAGAGGTGAATAAAAGGGTAGGAGACAGTGGGGATAGTCTACTTTTGTCAAGAAATTGATGATGGGGGTACTATGAAAGTGGGAGGCATTTGGCAAGGTGAGAGAGAGAGTGGGCAGGTCCCACAGTGCTCAGGTCTGACCTAAGTTAACACTCTTTCCTTGGGTCTACCCTGAGCTCTAAGTTATAAGTGTAGTAAGGAAATTAACAATTTTATATAAGATGTAGAAGAAACTCCTTGGGAGAAAGAGAGGAAGGAAGAAATCATGGATGGAGGGAAGAGGAAGGGAAAATTTTTAAAAATATTGAAGCCAAATAACTAGGAATCAGGCATGTTTAGTTCTTATTTTAATTCCTCTACTTAATTGCTAAGGGATCTTAAACAAGTAACATAACGGAGGACTCATAAATAGAAATGTGAAACTTAGCATCATAGTGTTTTAAGTAGTAATTGAAAAGGACTCATGCCAACCTGAAGTGCTTTACATACATTTACAATATATGAAAGTATATTTGATAGCTATAAAAAGAGAAAAATAACCCTGAGGTATACACAAATGCCAGAAGGAAAAGTAAATAATATTTCAAAGGTTAACAGGTAGAAAATGAAAACTAATGATTCTAATAAATTAAAGTCCTTTCTTTAAAAATGTGATATGATGCTTTTACTCTAGCCAACCATTTAGAAAACACATCCCAGCTCTAGTAATAGCTCTGTTACTCAAAGTACACAAGGGGGAAAACAATGGATCTACAACTTAAGGAAGCTGACGTGAAAAATCATCTTTGTAAGGCACCCATCACTCAGCCAGATTCAAGGAACATATCCCTTCCTAGAAGGGTGCTGGTAACCAAATGAGACCATAAGCTATCAGATCACATGTTAGTCAGAAAAAGGGCAAGAATTCAGGAACAGCAACATGCAATGTACTTTTAATGACCGCTGAAACACTAATGTTTTAAAACCAAGTTGGATAACTGGTTCTGCCTATTTGGAGGGCAGGGAGGAGGAGCGGTAAGCACAGACAGTCCATTCCTTCAGTCCTGTCTCCTGAGCTTCACAGATGATAGAGAAACCACTGTGCCCTCGTATTCACAAGTGTTACTTAAGCATCTGCTACTAGCTAGACTCAATGCTGGGCACCACAAAGTCAGTAATGAATAAAATGGTCTTATTAATAATAAAAACTTTGGAGTAATACTTTTATTAGTCTTACTTTAAAGGGGGGAAAATAAGCTTAGAGAGGTTAAATAACTTACCCCAGATCATTCAGCTAATATGTGGTGGAGACAGAACTTCAGTCCACATCGGTTTAGTTTCAAACACGCTGCACTATATTGCCTTGCTTAAAATCCTTCCAAGCGATGCCCAGATACAGTGACCAGGGGAACCTTCATTATAGGGGCTTTCACGGAAAATAAGGTGCTTTGAGAAAGAATGCATATAATTAAATAAATCACATAAACTGCCCCTACATTTAATTAAAGTTTTAAAGCCTAAAATGCATTTGTGATATTCACTGTCATTTCTACATTGGGTTGATATGCTCGACATTGAAGGAAGCCATGTGTCCTTTGCCAAGTAAGATGGTCTTCTGGTCAGAGACCTATGGCCTGGCTAGCCAGGCTCCCGCCATGGACCAGATTAACTGAGAGGTAAACAGGGCAATACCAGGAGTGGTAGAAAGATTTAAATGAACAAATAGCTGAATATTATTTAATTTTACCTCTTTCTAAATTTTGTAGAGAGCATCATACTATCTCAGGATTTTTTTTTTTAATTATTATACTTTAATTTCTGGGGTACATGTGCAGAACATGCAGGTTTTTACATAAGTATACACGTGCCATGCTGGTTTGCTGCACCCATCAACCCGTCATCTACATTAGGTATTTCTCCTAATGCTATCCCTTCCCTAGCCCTTACCCGCCAACAGGCCCCAGTGTGTGATGTTCCCTTCCCTGTGTCCGTGTGTTCTCATTGTTCAACTGCCACTTTTTTTTTTTTTTTAATGCTTTCCTAATCTTGCATCTAGTTGCAAAGACAGAAATGCTGGGTTATGTTTTTAACCTGCTTCACTTGCAGAATTTTAAGCAGCGCCCTGGCTCTCCAGGAATTTCCTCTTCTTTTTAAATCCCACCTCCACAGCTTCCTTCACAGCCTCGGACTATGAGGGAGAGTGAGGACACGAGGTAAGGTACCGCAGGGACGAAGCTTTCCAGTAGCACTTACTGCAGTTGACCACTCAGTACAAATTCCTTAATACATGGACGAACAGCCGTCATGAACACTAGATTGTATTTCCTGGTTTGTGGAATGCAGCTTTTCCTTAGCAATTTGATGTTGTCTCTAGGAATATAAACTCTCAATTTTCCCAAACATAAGAGCTTCTATAAACATAGCTCCCCAGAATTAATTCCAGAATTGTGCACTTTCAAAGCAACAGCTGAATAGTAAGCCAAGATTCTTAGAGATTTAAAGTGACATGACATTTTAAGAATGTTTATTATTTTGGCACAGGTAACAGCTAAAAAATGAAATGAGATTTCATAAAAGGATACCAATAAAAGGGGGGAAGAGAGAATGAAAAAATCCACAAAAATAGATCTAAAACTCTATACTTTTTTGTTACATGCCTACTCATACTTTTTCTCCCCTGACCTCCTCTCTTGAACTTTAAATTCCCTTTTGTGTATTTTAAATTCTACCCAGTCTTCCGGGCCCAATTCAATCCTCACCTCTTCAGGAAGGTCATCTTATCCCCACTTGCTGAACTGCTTAAATCTTTCCTTAACCTGAGAGCCTATGATTGAAAATATGACCATCACTATACAGTTTAGCACTTCAATATCCTCTAGGTAATTAATGCCTAATTATTTTAACCACTAAGCAGAATACGAGCATCTTGACATTATGTCTAATAATCACTATTAGTAGAAACAATATAAATAATTTAGCAGTATCAGTAGTTACTACTTATGGAGAACTTAAGCACAAATAAAATGTCATTTAGGCTGGGCGCAGTGGCTCATGCCTGTAATCTCAACTCTTTGGGAGGCTGAGGCAGGTGGGTCACCTGAGGTTAAGGGTTCAAGACCAGTCTGGCCAACATGGTGAAACTCCATCTCTACTAAAAATACAAGAAATTAGCCGGACATTGTGGCAGACACCTGTAATCCCAGCTACTCAGGAGCTAAGGTGGCAGAATTGCTTGAACTCAGGAGGCAGAGGTTACAGTGAGCCAAGAGCATGCTATTGCACTGCAGCCTGGGCAAGAAGAGTGAAACTCTGTCTAAAAAAAAAAAAAAAAAAAAAAAAAGTAATTTAGTCATCACAACAATCCTATAAGGTAGACGCTATTAAAACCTCATTAAACATATCAAGAAACCAAACTACAGTTAGAAGATCAGTTCGATAGAGGAAGAGAGTTGGAATTTGAATCCATCACCTAATCCTACTGCTACTTTTCCCTCTGGAGCAAATAGGCCAGAGTGTTACACAAACCATGTCTCATGATGAGGATACTCAGTGTCCGTATTAGAGCCAGACAACTTCTGCTGGAAAAGGTGGGAAATTTCCAATATACTGGATTATGAATGAGACTGAATTCATAAAACAAGACACAACTGTTCTACTGCTTTCTTATTTTGGAAAAATGCCAAAAGTCCATATTATCCCAAAGGTCACTGGCAGATGCACACTTCCCATCATGTATATCCAAACTGAGTCACTGACTTGGAAGAAGGCAATCATTTTGTCTTCTTCCTGAAGGCTAAGTTCTCCAGGATTCAGCAAAAGGACCAAATTCATATATCTTCATGAAATAAAATGTATGAGATAAAATAATCATGTGGGATATCGGCCAATGAAATACTAAAAGCACAAAGGTGATGGATTAATATGAACCTTCGGTCAACCTGGAGACTTATTTTTAAAATATCAGATTTGTAACCTGTAGAAAGTAAAAGGTTGAGGGCAAAATGGTGATATAAAACATAGAAAAGGAGCTTAAACAAAATTTTAAAATTTAATTTTAGCTCAGCTAAATGGGAGAAATAGAGAGCTAGAGACACCCAATTATACAAAACGTAAAACGGAAATCCAGAGAGAAGTAAACAGACACAGTAGATCAAGTGACAAGGCTGTTAAAGAACCCTGAAATGGCTGCTGAAAATGACTAAGGTGCTGACCATGGAAGCCGTTACTGACCTTCTCTCCCCCTCTCCCACCTTCTCCTTACAATACTGGGGAGCCCCTTCTGGGAACAAAATGCCTGGCAAGAGGAGCAGCAGTGCAGCCAGGGCTATGACAAGGATAAGTTGTCTTTTCTCCACTGGGGGCCTGACACTAAATGGAATGTTGGCTGTAAATATCCAGAAGCCCCCTCTCCTTTTCTCTGTCTTCTCCCAACCTGCTAGTCCAGCATTCTCTGTCCTTCTTTTCCAATGTGGCTCCTGCATCTTATTTTCTACCATGTCCCTGCGCTCTCTTTCTTTTTCTACTTCCCTCCTCTGTCCTAGGGAGTGAGGCGTGGTGGAGATTCAGCATCCCAGCACCAATCTATTAAAGTTCCAAAATGCTCATTCACACTTAATGTAAGTGTAGTGTTTGGTTAGTGTTCTAAAATCTGTTGATTCACACCAGGTTGCAATTCCTTTTGACCTTTTCAAACCATTTCTTCTCATTTCTCCTTTCTAGAAGGACTTAGTAAATGGTATTTATTTGATCGTCTCTATTTTCAAATCACATCTATTTTCTTCCTGTAGTCACCCTAATGTCTAGGACCATAGAGATATAAACTTTTACTGGCCGTCTTTAAAAATTAGGATGGAGATCTACATTTATTGGCATGGAAAGGTGATCATTTTAAGTGAAAAATTATTTTAAAGCACAACAGTATTAAAAAGTCATATATTAAAGAACTTAATTGTATAGGAAAATCAGGAGGTCTGTTTTAAAATGTTGAAAACCTCTCTGTAGGAATTTGGCTTTATTCATCTTCCACATCTTCTCAAAAACTAACTTTATAAAAACATACATGCATAGCTTAATTTATCAAAAACAAATAAACAAGAGAGAATTAAAAAGAAATTAAGCCTTTCCTACCTTCCTGACAAGGAAGAGTGTCTGAGAATCAAATGGGCAAGAGGGAAGCAGAGTGAAGGGATGTAGACATCTGTCTGATAAGAAAAACAGGGACAATGTTTGGGCAAAAATGAGGGATATTGTCATTCATTGTCTGCAAAGCTTTGGGGAGAAGCAAATTACTATTTATTTTGGGGAAAAGCTTTTTAGTCATAACAGTGGCACCGGCCATACAAACTGCTTCCTGCACCCTCATTAGCTGGTTCTAAGTAACTCACATAATCCAAAAAGGAGGGAAGAAAAAGTCTGGGCAGCAACCAGGACAAGAGCAGAAAATGCTCTTCCCAAGGAACACGGAGCCTGGGTTACGGTTTTAGTGAGAAATGAATTCACGCCAATTTTTTCCAATTTTAGCTTCCAAATAAGAACCTCCAATTTGGATGTTAGCCCTGTGGAAGTGATAATAGCCCCATCAAATTCCCAAGAGGAAACAGCTATAGAAATAAAAGGAAAACACCACAGCAATGTTTAAAGCTAAAGAACACAAAAACACTGGTCTGAGCTTTACAAAACGGAACAATTGGCCAAGCAAAACCTAAACTTCAGGAGCACCAGACCGTGAAATGGAGAAACAATGCATGCTCAAGTGGGATTGAAGACTCAAAAAAGCAGCTATTAATTCAAACAAGATCAAAACAGAAATCAATCTATTCATGTGACTTCCAAAAGATCATTAAAAACTAATTACTTTCTGTCTACCTCAATTGCTTTGTTGCTTTAACTGGTAAATTGTTGTCCTCGCTTCTGTCTAGATGGCTGTGGAATAAAACAGTGTGTTCCAATTCAGATCACAGTGAGTCAAGTGGCCCCATCCTAGAGCCCAGACACTAACTCCAAGTATTTCTAAGCATTATAACAGACTCCCCACTTATCAGCATAAAGCTTATGTATGCAGCCAAGCAACACTTGGTTACATAAAGCAATGTCATGAGTTGTTCCAATCTCACAAAAATAAAGAATTATTTAAAAAAGGCTGAAATTTATCAAACTTATGGATCTGATTTAATTTTTTAAAAAACCAAACCCTTCCTTTCAAGGGCTATGGTCAGTGATTTAGCATGTTTCTTCTGTGTTGGTAAATTAGTTCTATTGTTCAGAAAAAGTCTAAATAACAATAACAGAGACAATTCTTAATTCTTTTCCAAATCTGATGAAATTATCAAAAAGTAAAAGAAAAAGAAACCCTGCAGCTCAAGCAAATTTATTCTGTCAAGGGACCTTTCTTTTAGCTAAGTATTAACTTTCAAAAAATAATATTTATTAATTTTATTTGATCTTAATGAGTAATCTCATTTTTCTTTCAACCTAAAATTTTCCATTTATCTTCATTCAAAATAAAACTCCCAATATTCTCCATACCCTAATGTATATATAGTTTCTAGGAGAAGATTCAAGCTACTCTTAGTTGTTTCTTAGGAAGCTAAGGGCCTTTCAGTGACCCACAATTATATTTGTAAAATAACAAATGTTAATAGTCAGAAAAAAATTATTTTTTGGAGTCCTATTTGCACATGGACTTAGAAAAATGACCAAGGATAAATGTGGTGAAACATGACAAGGAAATATGTGTTAAAATATTAAGAACTCTTTTTTCCTGAATGTC